CTGGAGTTCTGGGTCCTGACCACCCCAGCTCAGTTTCCATCTCACCACTCTGCCTCCCCACCCCTCCAAAGCCATCTGAACTACACCTCCAGGGGGCATCCTCACAAAGGTGAGGCCAACCCCTGCTCCTGCTCCCAAGTCCCTGCAGAAGCCTGACCACCACAGACACCAGCACCCAGGCCAGGGAACACACTGGAAGACGTCTCGCCTTGGCGCCCTCGCGGTTTTGGCAGCGGGTGCCCTCTGAGGACTCTCAAAACCCAGTGTGTGGACAGGGATGTGTGCACACTTCTTAGAAGGCATCTTCATCTGCAACAGAGGGAGGTGTGGGAGGCCCCACAGGCACTTTGGCTGGATACCCAACAGGACCTCCTTCCTGTCACACCCCAACAGTGTCTTCTGCTCAATGAGAGAGGACTTCTTAGGAGTGGGAACTGTACCCCTTTATACCAGGAAGGGTGCAATGTGAGCCCTAGACACAATCGGTGTTCAACACCGGGGAGGAGGAAGTTGGCACTGTCGAGGGTGGATCGTGAGGAGGGTGTGAAAACAGGTGGGCAGAGGCCCTCCTCAGCGGGCTTGTTTCCAAGCTGAGGCCAACGGACATGATTCTGAGCGACACTGTCTGTTCACCTGGGTGCATGCTGCATGTCACTGGGCCACAAATGCAATGACAGATCTGGGGGAAGGCACTCCCAGGAAGGAGGCTTCAAGAGGGGCGACCTCCTCACATGGAGTGCTCACTGCTTCCTAAAAAGCCTAGCAGGCCTGGAAAGCGTAGGGCAGAGTCTGCCTGGAGGAAGTGATGGCAAGGTGCCTGTGGGGCTGGAGCGCTGGTCCATGCCCATCCCATCTGGGAGAGACCCTGCAGATCCTAGGAGATCCTCACCTTCGTGCTACAGGAAGTGAAGACGGCTCTGGAACAGAACAGAAGAGGCAGTGAAGAGGCCCAGGAAGGCACAACTGCCTCCAGGCCCCTGGGTCCCACCCCAGACCCTGCAACTACCCGTGCACTCTGCCTGATGCCAGGTGGCTCTGGGCTTTCACGGTTCACTCCTGGCTCTTTTTCTCCTCCTCCTGGTCTCCCACCCAGTGCCCCTCAGCCCCTCAGTTTGCTCCTGGTGCATCTGGCTGTAGTTCTTCATGCATCCATACCTGGGTGTGCCAGACCCGCCTCACTGAGAAGCACCATCTAAGCACAGGCCTCTTGCTGAGATGCTCAGTTTCCAGCATAATTGAACATGCTTGTAGTCCAATGCCCAATGTTAT